TGTGCATTTCTGAGCAGCTCTTCCTTCCTCGAGTTTATAATGTGGATTTTGCATCAAATCCTGGCAAGGAAAATTTTGCAAAATGAAACCTACCTTCCATCATACTGGCTTCTTTAAAGAAAAAATGATGTTGTTACTGAGCCAGATCGTACAGAGGGGAAATGTTTTTTGCTCTAAGAAAACTTTTGCTGTAGGCAAGCTTATGTTTGTGTGTCCCTGTTTAATAGGCAAGTACATGTGTGCAGGTCTCATGTATCACTCATGCTCTAATATTATTTTTTCCCCTTGCCCTTCTGATTGAATGCTGGAGGYTTAGCATTTTCCACAACCTTGAGGCAAGTTTAAATTTTTCTCCTTACCTGGTCTCTAAAAAGCAGACTGTGGGTGATAGGAAGCATCTGGTCCAGTTAGGAACAAAATCACATCAACTGATCCCCATTTGAAATRCTAGACCTTAAGTTTTTGTTAGCTTTCTGCTAAGACTGACACTCTTTGGAGTAGAAATAAATGACAAATCTGCCTGCAAAGTCTCCAGCAGTTTTCTGMTGCAGAATATGAGTCTCAAATACTTCTTAGCAGCTCTGCTACAACAGGTGACTCTTCTGCTGGAGGGTCTTCCTGGCACTTCTGTCAGCTCAGTTCAGAGTAAATTCTTTCAAGTACATCAAAAGCAAGTTTAGACACTGCCCTGAGRAATTTCCATAAAATGGAAGAGAACRATCCACGTGTTTGWGGCACATAAAATAGTGTGTGMAAATAAAGTTGTGAAGTAAAGGTCTCAATGACACTGCAAAGTATTGGGAGTTTCTGCCCAGGATTAAAGGTAGGGAGTGTAGCTGAACTTGTAATTTCAAAACACTATGGCCATGAATCAGCCAGCAGCAGGAGAAAAACAACTTGGAGGCTTCTAACAACAACTAATATTATTGTGGCTTTATTAATTTTATAGTTACACCAATKGAACGTGATGTACTGTACAGAATAAAGCTAGTCTTAGGCTACCAGGTGTACCATGGCATCCATTTGAGACATACCAACAGAAGTTTGCATGTGAAAAGTCGTAAAGTGATACTAAAGCAATGTTACCCATCTGATTGAGTCCCTTAGGAATTTAATGTTTTGCTGTTTTACATCTGGTTTCCATGCTGAGTACAATAAAAATGAGCACTGTCTTAATTATTCTGGGTCTCTGTTTGTAGGCTGACATGGGAAAAGAAAGGAKTTTTAAGGGTGACCATTCTGCCTGMATCTATGAGTRTGTGTAARTCAGAGCAGCTMCRAAGGTCTTTCTGGATTCAGGCCTGAAACCTGGCACCTTGCAGAGCTCAGCGTGGTGGGAGCTTCCCTGTGCTGTCCCTGTCGGAGAGGAGACCTTTCTGCTTCCTKCTGTGTAAGTGCAGTTGCCTTTGCACAGCTGCTCTTCAGCACAGGCTCTTGTGCATCAGCTGCTGCTCTGCCCTTTGGCATGAATTCACCCAGCCTTTCAGCAGCCCCTGTCACACCACAGCACAGCCCTCCCCCGGCACAGCCACCCCGGAGCCGAGGTGGAAAYGGCAGTAGCAGATTGTCACCATCACCCAGCAGCACACCTGCACACCACACACAAAGCCCACAGCATCAGCATCACAGTAACCACTTTGCTTCCCAAAACAAGGAAGTTTTGTCTCACGTACAGAAAAGCATAAAATAACAAACTATGGCACTGAAGTATTTTGAYTCAGAGCTGTTGTRTGGTGTATCCATGTGCCTATCTTCYAGCGGGCAYGAGAACCCCWCCTCAGCACACACTTTRCTATGGTGRGAGARCAGGAACAGAGCAGACTATGAGATAATGCCATTGCATGGTGCCTCTGCTACCAGTGATGCTCTGACTGCCCATCCAAGCTCGAGTCTATTCCCAAAAATAGTTTTTTGTGTTTCTCTGTTTGTGCCTTGTAGTTGTCAGGGTGCTTCAACTAATTGCCCAGTCCTTCAGGCATTCGCAGAGGGTATTTTATTAATGAGCTTTGCTGGATTTTTTGTGTTATGGTTCAGGGTCCTACATGCCAGTGGCTGACAAATATCAGTCCCCGTGCTGCCAGAGTGGGGTGCTTCCCTGTGGTAGCTTGGTTCATTCAGCTCTGCTGCATTTGTCAAGGTCTTTTTGTAGGGAGGAAAGCTGAGGTCTCTCTTTCGTACTTCATCCTTGTAGCCTTGCTGCAGTAAGGAAAAAGCCTGAAGATCCCTCACCCTGAGGGGACTGAGCCAGCAGAAAAGGGACCAGTGCAGAAAATAAGCTATCATCCTATCAAACCAATGATCACCAGTGCACATTTTTCAGCTGATGCAGACTTTATGTCATATAATGTGGCAGTTTCAGGGAGATAGTGCCTTAATGTGTAGAAAATAAGTCTGTCTTCTTGTTCAAACCTCAGTGATTTACTGAGGATGTGAGCTTTCCAACCAGTAGCACTGCATCCCAGGGGATCTGTCTCACTTCTTAACCTGCTAAAGAAACCACCATGCCCTWAGGGATTCAAATGCCATCAAAATCACTCTGTGGTAGGTGTTTCCACTCACAAGAGGCAGTATTGTGAGGGAAAAGGTGAAGATTTCCTCAGCAAATTATAGATCACTCACTCCTATGAGAACAATAAAATTACTAGATTGGCTAGCCAATGTTTTTAAAACTAGACACTTAAACCTGCACCTGAGGCATTTAAATCTGCAAATAATCATTTAAATCAATATGACCTCATGGATGAGAAGTGTAGGGGGCTCCTGTTGAGGTCAGGTTATGGAGACCTGTGGATGTTTGAAATCTTCCCAAAGCAAGTCACTGTTAGGGAGACGCTTGTATCCAGTGTGGTAGGAGGTAACTCGTGGGCAGCCCTCAGCAGTAATGACAGTCTGCATACAACCARCAGAAAGCTGCCAGTGCAAATTGGCAGTTGTAAAATGGCAATTGTATGGTGATAAACAGGATGGTTAGTAGGACTAGGTAAGGGATCATTCYCYGTACTCAGCTCTGGTGAGGCTGCACCTTGAGTGCCACATTCAGTTCTGGGCCCCTCACTTTATAAAGGACATGGARGTGCTGGAGTGCGTCCAGAGAAAGGCAAGAAGGCTCATGGAAGGTCTAGAGAACATTGTCTYAAGTCTTATGAGGAGTAGCTGAGGGAGMTGGGGTTGTTTTTTCTGAGGAAGAGGCTCAGGAGTGATCTCATGTCTCCCTAAAACTCCCTGAAAGGAGGCTGCAGTGAGGTGGGGGCCAGTCTCTTCTACTTGCYTGCAGTGAGCTAACCAGAGGAACTGGCTTTAAGCTAAGGCACAGGAGATTCAGATTGGATATTAGAAAAAACTATTCCACTGTTAAGAGTGGTCGGGCACTGGAATAGATTACCCAGGGAAGTGATGGAGTAACCATCACTGGAGGGGCTCAACAGGCATCTGAATCTGGAGCTGGGTGATGGTTTAGTGGTTTAGGAGTTACCAYGGCAGTGCTGGGTGGATGGTTGAACTTGATGATCTTAAAGGTCTCTTCCACTCTTGATGATTCTGAGATTCTATGGTTTGCCCCATTGCAACCCATATTTCAGCCATGTTTGTAGGAGTGCTTGCGACACAAAACACATATCTTTCTAAAGCATCCGTTGCACTTACAATGGATAAATTAGGTAGGATCAGCTGCTTGGGAGAGCAGGTGCCAGCCTACAAAAGAATTTGCCTTTGCTRTGCCATGTTAGTGATGAATTAACTTWCTTTTTTAAAAAAGTTTTCTAATAGCCTGCTGTGGACTGCGGCACAAGGAAGGGATTTAGGTCATTCATGCTGAGGTTTTGCCTTAATTCCATAATTCTTTTTATTTCTTTTCCTAATTAGAAACCCGCTCACGGCAGTGCTTTTTCCCTCAATCCACTTACATAACATCAGACAGACCTAAGCAAGCTGAGCAGTTAAGGACATTTTTCTCACAGGCTGGTGAAAAGCACCCTGGCAGCTGGAGCACAAGCGCTCGGCACCCACCTTCCCCTCGGCGCCGGGTGGACAATGGCCGGCGTGCAGGAATGTCTGCCGGCTCCTGCAAAGCCACCACGCCTGGGCTGAGCCAGGAACTGCTGGACTGTGCCACCCTGGCCTCGAGAAGGAGAGATGGGGTCTGCCTGGGAACCAGCAGAGGTGAGGCCAGCCATGAAGCTGCTCCTCCTGGGCTTTGGRAGCTCCTTGTGCTTCTTCCCTCACTTCTGTGTCTCTTACTTTTTCAAGGACAGTTACTGAGCTGCTGGTTAATGACAGAAATTGCTTTGGTTTAGTAAGTCTTAATCTAGGGAAAAGCCTCTAGGGAGATATTGTCTCAGTGCATTGCGTTCCTCACCCAACTGGAACTCCTGGGCTCTCCTTTAGGTTTKGGACCCTTTCAGCACCGGCTCTGTAGGCAGAGGCTGGTGGACAGGCTTTCCATTTTTCCTGGCTGCAGGAAAGAAGAAATGGGGAATAAACAGGGCTGACACTTGCTCAGGTCATATMCAAGTATCTCCCTGCATCCAGTGTGACTTCTTCAGCTGTTTAACAGAGCAGTGGTGGCTAAGAAAGCTAAGAGYTGTATAGGAGTTTAAGTAAGCCCTGTAATAAGTCCTACAAACTCTATAAGGCAAATGCAAAATATGCTCCAGTTTTGGTTCATTACATGAAATATCCTTTATTACAGTTTATCTCTTTGTCTTCACTGACATGGTTCTACATGCTTACATTTTTTCTGCTGGGAAAGTCTTCCAGGTATTCACCCTAACTTTCCTGCTGTACAGCTTATGCTATGACAGATTATCCTTCCTTCCTGCACTCATTGCATTTTAGAGAAGAATAATGCACTCCCTGTAGCTGAAGCTCTCTGGAAAGTGCTACCCTCTGCATTGTCCTC